AGAGAGAGAGAGAAGAGAGAGAGAGAGAGAGAGAGAGAGAGAGAGAGAGAGAGAGAGACGGAGAGAACACAGAGAGAAAAAAGGGGGGGAAAGGAAAAGAAACAAGAAGACAGAAGTGAAATCTCACAGCACATCAGTTACAAAAGCTTATTCAGAATCCCTGAACTCGAACGAAGGTGAAAGTGTAATGCTAAAAATTGACTGCCAATAAGACGGTGTTAGAAGTAATTAAGAAGGAGATAAGTTACTCAGAACCTCTTAAGCCAGGAAAGACAAGATTGTGTTGAGGGGAGATATTTTTTTTCAGAGCAAAGAAGGGTTCTTGTGGAGAGTTAATATCAGCCTGTTAGCGTTGAGTCCTGGACGCATGTAAATCAGTGTGTGGTTGAACATTTGTAGATTTGTCTGGTTGTTAATTTATCCACTTGACATACAGGAGTTTGAATTTCGTTGTACAGTGTTCTTTGTGACTTGCAGCAATAATAAGTATGGATGAGAAGGAGATGTTCTGATGTAATGCGTCACTTGGTATGTTAAGATGTTATTTCTCCTCTATATTTTTGTTTAAATTTTGTTCTTTGATGGTCTGTGGATTTTGGTTTGTGAGCCTCTGTATTTACAAGGTTTTAATCATATATGTGTTAAGTTTATTTAGATCGTGAATTACATACGCGCGTCCTGTCTCCAAGCTCCGCTACTGCCGCCACGCTCCGCTACAGGGTGATTAACACAAACCGGGGACCGTGAATTTGCTGTATTTAATTACGACAGACACCCCAAGTGACCGGACACTTGAGGGTTATTTTCCTGCTTAACCGAATGAATGGCCGAAGGGAATTATTTCTTCCAAAACATACATTTCTCACTTACTTTCTCTCTGTCTCTCTCTGTCTCTCTCTCTCCCTCTCTCTCTCTCTCTCTCTCTCTCTCTCTCTCTCTCTCTCTCTCTCTCTCTCTCTCTCTCTCTCTCTCTCTCTCTCTCTCTCTCTCTCTCTCTCCATCCCGAGCACACACACACATACAAGCACACACAGGAACGCACATGAGCTCACACGAGAAGGTCTTGGCTGGAGACGAATCCCAAACAACATGGAGTCCATTAAACAGAACATGTATGGTGCATTACAAGTTAATTAGATAAATCGTGTGAATGGAAGTGAAATGAAAACGTTCGATCGACAACTCTCAACATTTAAAAATAGTTTACTTTACATCTACACTTTGTCAACGAAGCAGATAGACTGCCGAAGTGCGCAGAAAGAACAGCCTGTTACAGGGTCTCCCGAGCGGAGGAGACGGCTCACCAAGGGCGCCTCTCGCTCGGGAACAGTCGGTATATAAAACTACAGTTTGGTTAAACGTTCAAGATACATTATACATATTTCCTTCTTCTTTGTTTCTCGTCTTGTATACCACTGATTACAACGTAGAAAGCAACTTTGGTAAAATGTATTGTCTTCTGGAATGGTGATACCAAAACACAAAAACACTGACAGAAGCAATGCTAATAGACCTTGGCTCTTATGTACACAGTTACTTAACACGGGGCCTAGGGTTACGGGTGGGTATGGGGGCAATGGGAAGGGGGAAGGGGGAAGGGGGGGGGTGCAGTAGGAGATCCCCGTGTGTACATATGTTCCGTCGTCAGCTATTTAATGTGTCTCAGTGAATATCTCCACCGAGCTCCTGATCGCCGTTGCTTCAGTATGGATAATGAACCTTAAGTCCTACTGGAATAAGCATCATAATTGTCTTGGCTCCTCGCGTAGCTGTGCACTGCTGCCAGTGTCTGACAGCGTAAACTGTACATTTGTCTTAATTACGTACGTATTCATAAGCTCCTCAAACGGCGATCGGGAAAATCAATAATGACCCTTGGATTTCTCGAGTCACAAGGCCCATTTCCCCATCCGCTGGCGGCCCGACCTCGCAGTGTTCATAGTACACTCACTCAAGATAAACAAGGCGCAGCCTGCCTCTGAAAGGGACTACCGTCTGGCTTATTATACACTGCAATAGTTTTAGATACTTGTGGAGCCTGGCTGCCACGCCCCGGGGAACGCAGCTGGCGGCTATGTGATCTGCCAGCTTGCGTTTCGCCTAATGGCTTTTCAAGTTATCACTTTTTTCTGTTATATATATATATATATATATATATATATATATATATATATATATATATATATATATATATATATATATATATATACATATATATATATATATATATATATACATATATATATATATATATATATATATATATATATATATATATATATATATATATATATATATATATATATATATATATATACATATATATATATATATATATATATATATATATATATATATATATATATATATATATATATATATATATATATGTATATATATATATATATATATATATATATATATATGTATATATATATATATATATATATATATATATATATATATATATATATATATATGCATATATATATATGTACATATATATATATATATATATATATATACATATATATATATATATATATATATATATATATATATATATATATATATATATATATATATATATATATGTATATATATATATATATGTATATATATATATATATATATAGATATATATATATATATATATATATATATATATATATATATATATATATATGTGTATATATATGCATATATATATATATATATATATATATATATATATATATATATATATATATATATATATATATATATATATGCATATATATATATATATATATATATATATATATATATATATATATATATATATATATATATATATATATATTTATATATATATATATATGCATATATATATATATATATATATATATATATATATATATATATATATATATATATATATATATGTATATATATATACGTATATAAATGTATGTATGTATGTTTATGTATATATATTCATTTGTGCATATATACAGAGATTTACATATATATATATACATATATATATATATATATATATATATATATATATATATATATATATATATATATATATATATATATATATATACATACATATATACATATATACATATATATATATATATATATATATATATATATATATATATATATATATATATATATATATATATATATATATATATATTTATTTATTTGAGCATATATACAGAAATTTACATATATGTATATATATATATATATATATATATATATATATATATATATATATATATATATATATATATATATATATAGATATATATATATACACATATATGTAAATTTCTGTATATATGCACAAATAAATAAATAAATATATATATATATATATATATATATATATATATATATATATATATATATATATATACATATATGTAAATTTCTGTATATATGCACAAATAAATATATATATATATATATATATATATATATATATATATATATATATATATATATATATATATATATATATATACATACATATATACATATATACATATATATATATATATATATATATATATATATATATATATATATATATATATATACATATATATATATATATATATATATATATATATATATATATATATATATATATATATATATATATATATATATATATATGCTGTAATAAACAAAAGTATGCATGTCCATATACAGTAACAATTTCTTTGCTCTTGATATTAATACATTTGTGCATACGCAAGTAACACAATGACCATATATAATTTTCATCAAAACTTTAGCTCTAGCCTCGCACACACAGGTAGACTCGTCAGCGTCCACGGCATGGCCTACTACAGTTGTCTAAAAGGGCTTCACTGCCGAGCCTCTTCTTCGGGCCTTCTGTTGCAAATTAACTATCTCATGTCACTGCGTTTGGTCGCGCGCTCGTAATAATGACCCTCTCTCTCCCCCCCCTTACCCCTCTCCCACCCCAACTTCACATCAGGTTCGACCACGATTGATGACCGTGAGGGAAGGAATGAAGGGGGGGAGGGGGTGAGAGGAGGGAAGGGGGGAGGGGAGTGGAGGGCGCTGTGATGCCCATGGAAGGGAAGGGATAAAGCCTCTAGAACGCGGTTTGGGATGGGGAGGGTAGGACCCCACCTTCCCTTCCTCCTGCCCTCCCTCCTCCCTCTGGCGGAGTTACGGCCAAGCAGTGATACAAGGAGGGTGTGCGCTTGTCCTGTCCCTGCACCCCCTCCCCCTCCCCCTCCCCTCCTCCCCTGCCTTCTAAGCCCGGACAAAGGCCAATACTAGTGATGGCGGCCATGGGGGAGGAGGAGGGATGGCGGAGGGGGAGGGGGAGAAGGAGATGGAGGAGGAGAGGAGCAGGAGAGAGGTCGGATCTGGCCTGGTTAAACACACGCACAATCCCCGTCACACACTGACTGGGGAAGCTGACAGCTGATTGGCGGCCGGAGTCTGGCCTCAACACTCCACTTTAAGACAAGAAGAGGTTTCGCCTAAAAAAAAGAAAAGCTTCCGAGGTTTGCTTGTTTTCCCCGTCGGTCTCCCGGCCTTGAGGTTAAACACACATAATTTGTCACCACTTTATTCGAGCGGCTCCTTGAAGACATATACATAGGCGTCTCCCCGGGACTCTCTCTCTCTCTCTCTCTCTCTTTCTCTCTCTCTCGCCTGGAGTCCCGAAGTCAGTACACAATGAACGGATACACTTCATATAGAGGATATCATATTTCCAATACAAAATACAAACACCATCTATACATAACACCATGACACATATATCGGTTTATTTCACAACTCCAAAACCAATACCAGTCGATGTTGATTATATTCGCTGATACGTGCAGGTGTCTGGTTACCGGAGGGAGGAGGAGGAGGAGGAGGAGGGGAGGAGGAGGAGTAAGGGGAGGAAGAGTAAGAGGAGGAGTAAGAGGAGGAGGAGTAAGAGGAAGAGGAGGAGGAGGAGGAGGAGG